ATTTTTCAGAACTTCTCAATCCCACTTGGTCTCACGACTTCCATGGAGGAAGCTGAGCCGGGGGACTTCAGGGATCGTCTGTCCATAACCGTGGCTGAGGTTGCCAAGGTAGTTAAAAAGATCCACAGTGGCAGGGCTCTGGGTGTGGATGAGTTTTGCCCTGATTTCCTTAAGGCTCTGGATGTTGTGGGGCTATCTTGGTTGACACGCCTTTGCAACGTTATGTGGACATCGGGGGCAGTGCCACTGGATTGGCAGACTGGAGTGGTTGTTCCCCTCTTCAAACAGGGGAACCAGAAGGTGTGCTCCTATTACAGGGGCATCACTCTCCTTAGCTTCCATGGTAAGGTCTATTCAGGGGTACTGGAGAAGACAGTCTGATCATTGGTCGAACCTCAGATCCAGGAGGAACAATGTGGGTTCCATTTTTTATTTTTTTTTTTTATTTTTTTTTTTTTTAATGGCAGGTTGGCTTTCTTGGACTGTGAGCTCTCAGTCTCTGATACAGGACATTTGCAAACCGAGATGTACCGCAAACCCACCCACACAGACCAGTATTTGCAGTTTGGCTCCCATCACCCTTTGGAGCACAAGTTAGGAGTCATCAGGACTCTGTATCACAGAGCAGACAGCATCCCCACTAACTCAGGAGCCAGGCAGCAGGAGAAATCTTACACAAGACAGGCTCTACAGCAATGTGGATATCCTAACTGGTTCTTCCTGAAAGCAGAGAAGAAACCCAAACAGGACTCCAGTCAGCCATCAGGTGAAAAGGAGGAACCCAGACCCAGACCAGTGGTCATTCCATATGTTGAGGGAGTATCAGAGAAACTGAGACGTTTATTTTCTGAACATAACGTCCCAGTGGCTTTTAAACCCCAAAATACATTACGGCAAAGACTGGTACATCCCAAAGATCCAGTCCCCCGGCACAAACAGAGTAATATTGTGTATGCTGTTCAGTGTCAGGAGGGCTGTGATCAGTCTTACATCGGGGAAACTAAACAGCCACTGGCCAAAAGGATGGCCCAGCACAGAAGATCAACATCATCAGGCCAAGATTCTACGGTCTACACTCATCTTCAGGCCAGCGGTCACTCTTTCAGGGATGAAGATATTCACATCCTGGACAGAGAGGAACGATGGATTGAGAGAGGAGTAAAGGAGGCCATCTTTGTGAAAATAAATCGTCCATCATTAAACAGGGGTGGAGGCCTCCGGGTTCAACTGTCCCCCTTTTACATTGCTGTTATTGCTAGTATCACTCAACCCCCTGTGAATAGTAAACAGCCATCAGTGTGCTAATGATCCATTGTTAGGCTGATGGTCCTTCTTGACCATGTGTGCAGCTGGTTTTGGTTGTCAGCAGCAAACTGGTTGATCCACTCTGAGAAGGTGCTATTTAAGAGACTGAGCTGAATATAGCACCTCAGACTGAGGAAGTCTCTTGGATGAGAGACGAAATGTTTCTATATTTTTTTTGCTTTGGTTTTTTTTTTTGTTTTGTTTTTTAATGTCCAGAGGACCAGATTGAATTTTTTGGGATTTTTCAACCTGGATTATTGAGCATGCATCAGGAAATGATGGATAACGTTACCACGGCTAACAAACACATAAATACTGTTTTTATTAACCTTACCTTGCACGATATCTTGTAATTTAACTTCTATAAATAAAGGTTGAATTAATGAAATTTTGTGAAGTTTCCAGACAGGTCTCCCGAGGGAGAATAGACCTGGAAGTACTGATCCACTGCGGCGAGTCAGAACGGAAGTTGTCTGACGTCATGTGAAAAGGGCCTATTGTGTTCCTCGAGGTACACTGTGGGGGGTGCTCCATGAGTATGGGATTGGGGGCCCGTTGTTATGGGCTGTTCAGTTCCTCCATACAATACAATACAATACAATACAATACAATACAATACAATACAATACAATACAATACCACTTTATTTATAAGCACTTTAAAGCAACACTGTTGGCCAAAGTGCTGTACACCTACAAGCATAAAAACTATAAACTCAACAGATACCATAAAAGTAATGAACTACCAAATCATAAAATTGCAAACAGTAAAAGCAATAAAACAAATAACTTAAAAACAGTAAAACCAACATTTCAAGCTGAGTTAAAAGCCAAAGTGAAAAAAAAATGTGTTTGCAGACAATATTTAAAAACAGGAAGTGAGTCAGCTTGTCTGGCGTGCAAAGGCAGCTTGTTCCACACAGAGCCCTGTAAAGAGAGAGTTGCGACACTCTTTGAACTCGCCGATACGCGGTCACGTGGTTCATGCAGCTCCCAATAGTTCCAAACAGCTCATCGCTGTCAGTCAGTTTGAGCGGCTGCTGGTGCAACATAACACATAAATCGACTTTTCTTACTTTACCTGGTGTCTTTCAGTAATTATTGAGCAGTAACGAACTGATTACTGATTATTTCACAGACTATGCATTTTATCAAAGCATTTTTAGAAGCAGCTGATACATTTATCATTAAATTTTAGAAGGAAACGAGACTGCAAACACATATTTGTTAGAAAATAATGTATATGCAATACAATGATCAATATAGCCATGTCAGTGTTTTATAACGTTACACACGTTAAAAAAAGATCAGAGTAACACCTGTTATACAGCTATTTCTGATGTTCTCTGCAGGATAATGCTGCACCTTGTCCTCCATGCAGCAGTTCAGATCTGCTCCAGCTTACCTCAGATCATCTGGATGAATTCTTGATTTCTATAGAAGATACTAATTCAACCTTTATTTAAACAGGTTCGTCCCATTGAGCCACGAGGACTCATTTACAAGAGAGACCTGAATATAATAGTTGTATTTGTCGTTTTTTTATGGCAACCAAGTACCTGATAACTGAGTTGATTGTAGCCTGACAACTATTGTAAAATTGTAATTCATTGATTAAAATGTTAATTTAAATGAAACTGTTTCTAGTTAAAATCATAACAGATGACAAAATAAGTGTTAATTGTGCAAAAATAAATTTCCAAACAATTTATTATAAAATATGTAAAATGTAAAGCAAGCTTTAATAAAGTACTTTTACTGACATTTATACTGTTTATTAATGACATC